TCTGGAGTAATTTATTATACAAAGTATATTATTTTTATTAATTTTAAGTTTTTTGAAGTTGATCATATCTAACTTTTAGGTCGTTTTTGATGATTTTCAATGTTTTCTTATTATGGTGGTACCTTTGTATTAGGTAAACTATAGATTCTACTACTACTTGTTTTTATTTATTTATACCAAGAATATGGAAAAAATGTTTAAAAAAATTTATCTGTCAAAAAATTTTGACATTTGACATTTTTTATGTTTATTTAATGTTTTATAATTTATAATGTTTTATAATTATTTAGTAAAGGTACAAAAATTTTGCCAATAAAAGCCACAAATAACATTGAACAGAGTTACAATTTAGAACACAGCTTCCTTGTTTCCTCTTTCCTTAGTCTATAGCAAAAAAAACTTGGAAAATTATTTTCCCAACTGAAATAAATAGAGTCAAAATGCAAACTTTACCTAAACCCTCATAACTTCGACATTTTTATAGATAAATTTTTTTAACATTTTTTCCATGTTCCTGGTATCTTACCTTATATGGCATTTTTTTCTGGGGTCGAGTTCTGGCGCACCCTGTATAAAAAAAAATTGAGAAATTATTTTATCAACAGAAATAAATAGAGTCAAAGTGCAAAATTTAAACTCTCATATATTCAACATTTTTGTAAACAGATTTTTTTTAACATTGTTCTATGTTCCTGGTATCTTACCTTACATGATATTTTTCTCTGGGGTCCACCTCTATATGACCTCTATATGATTCTCAATGCAAAATTATTGTACATTTACCACTTGACCAGACTCCCCTTTTGTTTCTTAGTAACATAAGAGTCAAAAACTGTCTATTACTTTCAGGATATTATAAAAATTTAAATTTTTAATTTCAAAACATAATTTTTTTGTTTTTTAATGTGTCCATCTTTTTAAAGAAGTTGGATTTATACAGGGAGAAGAATAAATAAAAATAACAAACTACTCGTATTTATTTAAATTTCATATTGATGGCACATATTTGGATTATTAAATATATGTACAAATAATTACTCGTTTATTATATACAAATGTCTTTAAATTAAAATCAAAACATGTAATTTATTTTTATTTTACAAATAAATACACATAATATTTTTTTTTATCACTGGTAATATTGTCCCTCTATTACAACAGTATTTATGTAATAAAAATCTAAACTAAACAGTTATAAGCTATACAAACATACATTATATACAATACACACTTACTTCCCTCTCTATCACTTTCTCTTTCTCTCTCTTTATTTTTCAAAATATTTTACATTGTCTTATTACTTTTTTCGCAAACATCACAAAAATAGAAATAACAATCTGACGACTACGAAAACAATACAACAGCCCCCAAGCCTATTTCCACCCCCAAAGTAAAATTCCCTTCCCAGTCTCTCCCTCAAATCCTCCGTAAACGAAACCTTCTCCCCACACTTGACCATCGGCAACTGAAACGCAGTTGGCCTTTCATCCTGAGGCAAATTATTCGTATCGGCTTGTCCCAAAAACAACAACCACGCCCCCTTGTAATCCATTTCGACTTTGACAACGTCGAATCTCACCGATGGTATAAACACCCCCAAGGAAATACACCCATTGGTCGTGGCCAACTCCTTCGGAACGTTCACTTTCCACTCACCCAGCCCGCAAAGTCCCGGTAAACGCATTTCAGTGATGATTCGATGATCGAGCGCGGTGAGAGTGGCTCTCTCGATTTGGAAATCTATATCTGAGACACCTTTCATGGTTTCGCTTGGACCCACGAGTGTGAAATGGCCCGTGGCTGTGATTATAAATTTGGGGTAGGTGCAGAAGGGGTCTGAGAAAAATTTATGGTGGCCGACCCATCGATGGTCTTCTTCATGGAACGTAAAGTGTCGCAATAAATAGACGTCCAAGGGTCGTACTTCACACCTTGTGGACACCCAATCGCCCCAGATATAGGGTGGGAGGTGCGGTTTTTCGATCAAGTGGGGTGGACTCTGACTCGTGATCAGATTAGTCAAAGTGTTGGGGTTTTTGACCAAAAACTGGTGTTTCGCCACTGTTATATTTTCACCCTTTGTTTGTTTGAACAAAGGGGGTTGGAAGCTTGTAGGGGAGTAAAACTCCCGTCGTTTCTTATTCGAATGAATGTCTCCCAGTAACAACTCCATTTCGACTATTTTCGAACTCTTCCGGGAGTTGTACAAAGGCCGAAATTGGATTTTGAGGAGTTTGAGCTCGTTGAAGGCCCATTTGAGGGACCCGAGACACGAAACATCGCCGGAAATTTGAGGAAACTCGGGTTTGTTGAGAGGGTGGTGATTGGTGATGGCTTGGTAGGAGTGTGACCATAAGTTGAAGGTCCCTCGGCGTTCTTGTCGATGGTCGTAGACCAAGTGTTCCACATTTCGGCGCCATGATTTCCAGTATTGGCCTAAAAATCAAATTTAGAGTTTACGGAAATAATAAGAATTTTGACACTAACCAGGACATTCTTGCGATACGAGTTTAATTAATTCTTCAGCTGCAGCACTGTCTTGGGGTATAACAGTGATATTTGTGGGTTTGGCGAGTCCATTTGAGGCCTCTGGTTGGACCAAAGAGTTGCGTAAGTTGAGTCGTCCGTGAGAAATTACGGTTAACTTAGGTGAAGAGCAAGAATCATCCCAATAATGGTGTTGGATTAGATTGTAGGTGCCCTCGGGGTTAAAAGTGTAGGCCCGCAGGACGTACTCGGGGCCGGGCCTGGTTTCACATCTGAAAAATAATAAAAAAAAATATTTTTTTAACGCAAAATATTTAGACAAAACATAGAAAGCTGTTTTTGCTATGACATTTGTCAGAAATTGTTTTTTATTACGGACGTGAAAAATTTTTTTTTATGTAACTCGTTAGTAAAGTCTCTTTACTCGGTAAATTTTTTCGTAAAAAAACTAACTATACAGGGTGCGCCAGAACTCGCGCCCCAGAGAAAATTTTCAAGTAAGGTAAGATACCAGAAACATGAAAAAAATGTTTAAAAAATTCTATCTGTCAAAAAATTTTGACATTTATTTTTTGACATTTGACATTTTTTTATGTCTATTTAATGATACTGATGATCTTGTATATGTTTTTTTACAATTATTTAGTAAAGGCACAAAAATTTTGCCAATAAAAGCCACAAATAACATTAAACAGAGTTACAATTTAGGATACAGCTTCTTTGTTTCCTCTTTTAATAGCCTATAGCAAAAAACTTGTAAAATTATTTTTCCAACAGAAATAAATAAAGTCAAAAAGCAAACTTTAAACCCTCATAACTTCGAAATTTTTATAGATAATTTTTTTTTAACATTTTTTCCATGCTGCTGGTATCTTACCTTATATGACATTTTTCTCTGGGGCGCGAGTTCTGGCGCACCCTGTATATTATACTAACTAAAAATTTATTAAGTAACAATTTCGTAAAATTGCGATTTTTTAGCCATTTTTAATTTTACGCCTTCTAATAAAATAACAAGCCGTTCAGTTCCCAAGGAGAATTTTAATTATTTTTTTTAAATTAAATAAAAGAAGACATTTAGCCAGAAATGTCTATTAGAAACACCAATTTGTTTTTGCTCGCTTTTAATTAATAATCTGACACTTTATTCTCTTCGGAATAAAATAAATAAAATACCGATTTTACACTTAAAATAAACTGGAATTGAATAAATCGAATCTTTTGAGTGTTTTTGACATAAACAAAGTCCTTGATACCGATTTTTTTTTAATAAATATTTTGACAAATTATTTGATATTATTTGACAAATTTATTTTTTTATTATTTTAATTTAGTCTGTTGGGAGGAATGTTTTATATGCATCTCTGGAATAAAGATTGTTAATCTCTAGAATAAAAATTACCTACAAAAAATAGTTGTTTATTTCCTTAATACGTACGAGTAAACAGGGCCGTACCTAAGGGGGGGGGGGACTAAGGGGTTCTTCAAATGCTGAGCACTTTGTTATACATATAGTGTTATAAGTGTTAAAAATTTAGTTTTTTTGTTATTTTAATGAGTTAATTTAAAAATTTTGTGAATTAATTTTTCATGTGTTAATTATACAGTGTTTCATTTTTATTGTTAGGTACAAATTTAAATAGTTAATAGAATATTTAATTTTAAGATAAAAGTGTTTTGAAAAATGCTATGAAAAGGAGCTACACCCCCTAAAAAAGGTACGTTTTTTAAAGGGTTTTTCCTAATATTTCAGAATAGATAAAATTACAAAATTTGGTAAACGGTAAACGGTAAACAAATTTAATTTTTATGCTGTTTATGGTCTGTAACAAATTTTTAAAGCAATTTTTACTAAAAATCCGTAAATTGTATTGGAAAAACACAAAAGACCTTTTTTTATGAAAAACTATGAAATTTTGTTGCTGAAAGTGGCAAGAAACCACTGGCAAAATAGAGTAAATTTTTACCCTAATCCCATCTAGTTTAGGAAGCACCTAATTAAAAATTTCAACATTTTATTTTTGTACTGTTTAGGTGTATAAAAGTTATCATCTGTAGCAAATTTTGAAATTTTTTTCTAAAATGATTTCGGAAATATTAAAAAAAACCTATTAAAAGACGCATCCCTTGCGTAGCATTTCTCGATATATGTTCATAGAAAATTTTTGTTTTAAAAACGAATCTCCTGTTTAAATTTGTAACAATAAAAAGTATTAAAAATTTATTTTATTTTTTGTTACTTTTGTGAGTTAATTTGTATTTTTTTTATGTTTAATTAGGATCTCTTATTTCAATTTAAAATAAAAACGTGTACTGTGAGATTTTTGCTTTTCAATCCGTCTTCTTTCATTTCATTTTCATGGACCAACAACGGACCAACGGCCCTGCGAGTAAATGATTATTAGTATTCACTATTTTTGACAAATAAAATTAAATCACTCTGAATAAAATGGTGTAATATTCTTTATTATTAGCGTTGAATGAATTCTAAAAACTATTAAAATGCATTAAATTGCAGATTCTTTTAGTACGACTACAAAAAGTAAAAGAAAAAAATGTATTTAATTTGAAGCAGTACAATCAGTCTAAAAACAACTAAATATTTATTCTGACAATTTCTCAACTATTTTAAATATTTGACATTGACTACGTTTTGAAACGGATATTATAGACACTAAGCAAATGGTTTAAAATAGTAGTTTATAAAATCCTCAATTTTGTATTTCTTTGGTTTCTATTTTTTTTTTTTTTAATAGACAGAAACATTGTTAAATTCCTCAAAACTGGCTCTATGAATAGAAAAAATAATGTATGCACCGCGACAGGAAGCCGTTTTGCTAGCCACAAGTTATTTAAATAAAGAGAAAATTCCTCGAAGCCGATTTCAAGCATTGATAAGGGATGACATCGTCGGAAATGCTAATGGTCCATCATAAATAACTGTCAAAATCTGACAATAGGTACGACAGGTACGACCGGATAATATTTAAAACTGCGGGTGGTTGTACAAACAAGGTACAAGAAGGTTGTTTAATCTTGACCACCTGTTGATTAAAATCTTGGTACTAATCGAAAGAAATTTCTCCTAAATAAACTATTTTTATCTTTATGGGCTGTTTTATGTCATAAACACCCAGAAATAGTCCAGATCTAGTTAATTGAATGAAATATGGACATAAATGTAAATAAACTAGAGTAAATAAATAAAGAGTGTTACCCTTCAGATATCCAGGTCCCGGAAAGCGTCTTCAGCGAGGTCACCACCACGGTGTTGTGGTCCCTCCAGGCGGCCACGGTCTCGACCTTCTCGCACTTGGTCAGCTCCCCCATGGCATCTGTTTCTATAAATCCCCGACCATTAATATTAAGCATGCTGCGAGGGTGAGTTTTTTTTCGTTGACTTTTAATGCCTTTCTGGTTGGGAAAAGGTCTCGACTTGATTATTCAAGCCACTTAAAAACGTTATTTATTTTTGGTACAAGTCTTTCGGTTGCATTGTACCTTCACGACGATTGATTTATACGAGATTCGAAAACCAAACCAGATTTTCGTCGTCGAGTGTGTGTTTGTTTAAACTAAGCTTCGGGATTTTATCTATTTGGGCATGGGACAGGGGAAGTTTATCCGTTTGGGAGTTAATTGCTCCACGAACACGGACATGGTGCAAGAAGTTACACGATGTTTAAAATTGGAACTTTAAATACACAAACGTTTGTTTTGGTTTTTTCTCGGTGTTAGCACTACTGGTTTTCTGTTTATGTTGTCGCTTGTGGGAAGGAATGCACCGGAGAGTGATTGACGGGCCAAAATTTTTGAAAAATCTATCAGAAAGCGCATTTTTAAATCCTTACTTTTCCGCCTTTTGACTAATTTTTAGTACAATTAAAAGCCTAAACAGGCCTTTCTAGGACATTCTTTATGTGATAGAAGAAACTTTTTCACAATTTCAGTAAAACACTGTAAGCTGGCTTCTGTTTCTGGTTTTACTTCCGATTGCAAGAAATTTTGATTTTTTAAACAAATATTCTGTACTCAACACTCTTGACACTTTTTTTTGTTTATTTACATAAAAATCATCATTTTTTGTGCAATCAAATATATTTTTGGATAAAGCTGTTTGAATTTTTTTCTTTATTTTATTTTTGATATCATTTTGGTGAAATTTGACACTTTTCTTATGTAATAAATGTAATTATTTGTCCTTATTTGAAATTTGTGAACAAATTTAACAATTTACCAAAAATCAAATGTTTGTTTTCAATTTATACCATCAGCAAACGCTCTATTTTTTCGTAAGAGCAGTATAGCATAAAAAATTATGTATGTATAACGTGGAAATATACATATATAATTTTACAGTACAAAAAAATTAATTTTTGGAAAGCAGGTTTTGCTGAGTAGATTTAATTTTTCCCTTTGTTGATCACAACGAATAAAAAAAATGTACCTAACCGCTTTTTTCAATAAAACGACATTTTTTTCGTTTCTTTTTTTAGACTTTGAAAGTGTTTTATTTTGATCAGTAAATACATTTTTGTATTTTCTTGTATTATTCATTATTTTTCTTCTTTTTTTTTTTCATTTTATTAATTCTTTTCTTTATGTAATACAATATTGTTTCTTATTTACGTGGTGTAAGTTTTTATTAACATCTGAACATACCTGTATTTAATACAGAGTGGTTATAAATGATTTTCATCTAGCTAGCTTTGGAATTTTTTTGCATGTAACTTTATTTGTGCCGCACTACTTTTTTGAAAGCTCTAGTTCTGTCATTAGTGTCACTTATTAGTTATCAATATATGGTTGTTAATTAAACTTTTATTGTTTCAACTAATTTCCAATAATAATTGATAATGATGTACACTTTGGAAGAAAACAAGTTTATAATTGAAGTCTATTTTCGAAGTGGACGCTTAGTAAACGGCGATTTTTTAATTTTGAGTTAAAACAAGTAGCTACCCCTATTTTCGTAAAGCGGCATTTTTTATTTTACATGGAAAATTCACAGATGGCTAGATGAAAATCATTTATAACCACTCTGTATAAACAACCATAAAACAAAATAAAAATATAACCACAAGTAAGAATAATTTAAAATTTACTTTAACTGAATTTGAATTAAATAATACTTAGGTATTCAAAAATTAGTTTAATTAGCTACTTTAAAATAGTGTTTAAAGGAATTGTGATTTTAATTTTGTAATAACAATTAAAAAAAATAATTACAAAAAATTAAATCTTTAATTGTTCACTGCTTGCTTTTTTTTAAATATAGTTGAATTAATTAATTAATTAAATATTATTAATGATATTAATAAAATTCATTTTGTATTAATACATGCCAATGCCATGCAGAGTGTTTCAGAACTCGCGCTTCAGAGAAAAATGCCAAGCAAGGTAAAATACCAGAAATATAGAAAAAATGTAAAAAAAAGTATAACAATTTCAATATGTAAATTCAAATTTGCACTTTGATCCTATTTCATGTTTTTGTCATTGTCAAATGTCAAAAAATAAATGATTTTTTACACATAGAATTTGTTAAAAAAAATTACATTTTTCTCTGGGGCGCGAGTGGTAAAACACCATATTATCCGTTTTAAATCAAGTTTACACAAATGGTGGGCAAAAAATGTCAATATAAAAATATGTTATTAATTTAAAACAAGTCTATTAGTTGGGAAATTTAATATGGACAACTTTAATTTAAAGTTTAATTAAAAAAATGTAGACACTTGTAAATTAGGAAGATTTATGGGTGTCCAGTAGCAGGTGCTTTTTGTTGACTCTGATTTAATTTATGGTTTCGTTTTTTCCCAAACTGTCACTCCGAAAGTAGTACCAAATCGGTGCCAACCATCTGACTAAACAACCAGAACCAGAAGACGTTTAAAAAAAAAAACATTTCTAGGCAAAAATAATAATCCCGAAATACCTCGGCGCGCCAAACCTCCTTTTGTAAACACTTTTTCTCCTCATCTCGACTTTGAACATTCGTCAAAACGCGCAAAAATGAAACGCTTTCAAAGCTCTGTTAATTCTGTTTATCTTTCTCCAGATGGTCTCGTTTCGCTCGAAACAGCCTCAATTTGGCGAACGACCATCTGCCTCCTGTTCGCCGCCCCCGCCATAAATCACCGCTAAACACCGTCAACTTCCTGCGGTTTCGAATATCGAATGTTATTACCGAAAGCCCGAACGGTCGCGCTTTTTGCTCATTATTCGCTCGTAAAACGTTCGATTTGAAAGCTGGCTTACCGTAAACGAGGACCAGGAATATCCACGTGGTGAACATCGCGAGTAATCCTTTTTTGCACGAGCACATGCCACTGGTCCGCACGAAACGGAGGGTTGAACGAGAATGAATCGGAAACGAGGGACCACTTGGTGCCTTTTTCCTTCTTGTCAAGTCTGCGGGGGGTCACTTCTGACAGGTTACACGAACCTCGTTAGCAGAGGCGGCGCCCAAACGAAACAAATCAACAGCAGATTTCAATTTGAATTTTGTAACAGAAAATTAAAAAAAAAAAACAATTAAAAAATTTAATTGAACTTAAGAGTTTATTTTTATCCAAAATAGTTAAATTAATGATATGATACGATAACAAATCAACAGCAGAATCCTAAATTTTACAGTCGAAACTTTTCCTAATTTATTGACAAAATGTAATTTTTTTTTAAAGTTTACATTTTTTTTTCTAAAACTTGTGATGGTATGAGCGGCTTGCTTCCACACGATATTGCGTCAATAGAAAAGCATTAAGTCAAAGGAAAAACTAAGCAAAAAATTGTTGTCTTTAATTTAGAAATGATTTTTTTTAACTTTGCCTTTTGACGAGTCGCCTGTGGGATTGCATGGAGCGCTCCCGCGGAGATGAAATATTCATGGTTGAATTTTGGATATAAAGAAGGCATTTAGAAAAGGTAACTTCTACCTGCCTTTGAGTGTCTATTTGTTTGAGAAGATGACTTCCAAACGTTCGAACGTTTTGATTTACGATGCGATTTCACGAGAACGTCCCTGAAATGAAACGAATATAAATAAAACTTGACTTTTATATAATAGTTACGTTTCTTTTAAGTGAATTTTGTGATTTACAATGTCTGATCTTTAAGAGCGTGTTGGAAATATAAAAGTTTTTTTCGAGGTTGATAACATGATTTATTGGTTATTTTTGAACTCGGGATTATCCTCAAATTTGTTCAAAGAAAGAGTTAGAAATTTAATTGTGGATAATTTACTGCGGTTGTCTTAATTATTCAATGCGTGTCTTGTCACCGGAGTGGACATGCACGCGAAATGTCAAGAGTGACTTCAAAGAAGAAAAAAATTAAATAAATAGATTTGATAACGAAGGGGTGAAGTGATTCATAATTTTGAATAAACGTTTCTAAATTGCATTCATTATTCGATCAAAGAATTTAAAAAAATTATATTTTCAAAAAAGTCTGAACCAGGTTTTAATTAATTATGTTAATATGTGAATTTTTCTTTAAAAAAAACGTTTATTACTTTCGTTTTTTGCATTTTTTTGTTATAAGATAAAAATAAGATTAAATATACACAACTTACCCATTCTAGAAACGTACATAAATGTCGTTAACAGTGATTTATGATATTTTTTTATATAAAAAAATGTCCTATTTAAATGCAAAAACATGTTTGAGGTCTTATAACCTAATTTCCATTTGTTTCGTTTTATTATTAACGCAATTTTTTTATTTGCAAACATCACAAAGGTGATCACTAAATGTCACAATTAAAAGTTTTATTTTTTAGTCATGGAAAAAAAATTCTATGTTTGGGCTTAGGCGTATCAGCATTCAACATTTTGCACTACTAACTGCACTAGTAAAATTAATAAAAACTAAAATCTTAACACAAAATTTCGATACTGACGCGTGATGTTGTTTATAAGCCTTGTTAATGATGTATTGTTTTCATCACTTGCAAAGCATTCTGATTACTTTGTACATTTACTTGTTATTTATAGTGACGCTCTATACTCTTAATGTGAATACTTTTGCGGATAAAATAATATATGTTATTCGGAGTAAAAGTGATTTTGTAGCTCAGCTGAATTACGTTCAGTTTCGCCACATAAACTCACATTTACTCCTAATAACATAATATACTATTATTTTTATGTTTTGTTAATCTCATTAAGAAAATCGAAAAATCAGCTCCAAGTACTCCAAAGTATTAAGTTTTTCTAAAAAATACTTTTTATAAATTATTTTACTATTATTTTATTTTCAAAATACAACGTGTTTTAAAATGATTTTTGTCTAGTCGTCTATGGAATTACCATGTAATATCAAAAATTTTGCTTTAAAAAACATCGAATCTAATTAACCTTAAATGTTAATTTATTTTGATTGACAGCTGTCACTGCTGAGAGAATTTCTGGTTCAAAAAGAGTAGAGCGACACAGAAAAATGTCATGTAAAGAAATTTTATAAGCAACTAGATGAAAATCATTTTGAAACACGTATACAGGGTGTGTCAGAACTCGCGCCCCAAGAAAAATTTCAAGTAAGATAAGATACCAGGAACATGGAAAAAATGTTTCTGTGTCAAAAAATTTTGACTTTAATTTTTGATATTTAACATTTTTATATGTCTATTTAATGATACTAATGATCTTGTATATGTTTTTTTTTATAATTATTTAGTAAAGGTACAAAAATTTTGACAATAAAATCTACAAATAACATTAAACAGAGTTACAATTTAGTATACAGCTTCCTTGTTTCCTCTTCTAATAGTCTGTAGCAAAGAAACTTGGAAAATAATTGTTCCAACAGAAATAAATGGAGTCAAAGCGCAAAATTTAAACTCTCATAACTTCAACATTTTTATATCATAGATAGAATTTTTTAACATTTTTTCCATGTTGTTAGTATCTCACCTTACATGACATTTTTGTTTGGCGCACCTGTATGTACTTAACTACTCACTTTTTATAAATCGTAAAAGTAACACAAAATAGTCTATAAAAAAAAACTTTTCCGGACTCATATTATTATGTCAGTAATTGAAATCGTCCGTAAAGTAGACAAAATAGTCCGTAAAAAGGGCAATGTTTGTTGTATAGTATATGAAATTTTTACATAATTTAAAAAATTGCGATTTTAGTATAAACGTAATTTACACCTGAACACTAAAGTTATTTTTTTACACACATACTCGTATTAGGATTTCGCTTCTCGGCTATCACCTCAAAAAATAAACTTTAAATTCAAGTTTATTATATTCTTTATTATTCTTTTTTATAATGATTTTTTTTAATAATTTAGTTATTCAGTTTTTAAATTACAGCACTTAGGAACTAGAGACAAGATATAAGAAGTATTTTCAAAAACTTAATTACTGTACTTTTTCATTGAAAGTTTATTCTTATTTCTAGCTGTTTTTCATGAATGTTTTTTTGCAGTTTCCGTCTATTTTCGTCCACCCACAAGAAACTCTAGAACTGTGATCACTGATCAGATTTCTGTAAGTGGAAAGTTCGTTGCAGGTTTCTCCTCATTTCTCGCTTGCTGTTGAGCTTTAAACCTTTGCACATTTTCTCGTAGATGTCGCCCCCTTTTCTGTATCCCTTTCCGGTCGTATCTCTTTCCAATGAGCTTTATCCAACTTTATTTGACCATAAAATGAAAAGTGATTTTAAAAACTAGTCGAAAGAGGTCATAAATTCGCATTTGAAACACAAGAGCAGACGTTGTTGCATTTCTCGCTGCATTCTAGCATACTTTTTCGTGCTACTACTTTTATTTGGGTTTATTTATCGAAAATTGTCGGTAAAATATCACTTCGATTCGTCGCATTAAAACGAAATCAGTTCGCTGGAATTCAACATAGCTGTAACTGTCATGAGCTTTCAAGTATAAAAAGCTCATACAGCGAGCTTTTAAAGTTCACGCATGAACAGGCCGCCTGTCCCGTCAGAATAACACGACGTCATCCACCGACAGTCAGACTCATCCCATTTTTAGTTTTATCATACAAAACCATATTTATACTCGAAATTGCATTATTCCAATACTGCAACACACGGTGAGATTTTCTCGCATCTTAATACAAATAATTGCATGCAAAATGTAAAATAAATACAGGAACATTGGGCTCCAATTCCCACGTTTTTTTTCTTCTATGAAAAGAAACTTTTATTCAAACTTTTTTTTATCAAGTTATTTACTGTGGTTTTAAAAATAAGTTTCAACTATCATAGATAATTAATACAAAATTTTGTTTAAAAAAATTAAAATCAAAACTAACTAAAATTTTTGTATTGTTTGTGTAATTTTCTATGTTAATCAATAAATTTTCGGTTATTCCTGCTGTGTTTTTGAGTTGAAATGTGGATTTTGCTTTTATTTCGTTAAAATCGGTGAGATCTGCCGCGAATGAAGCAATCAAAACTTCTTTTCCTTCCTTCTAACTAGCATATCTTATATACACATATACACCATTATAGATTTTTTTCGAGTTAGGGAAGATTGAAGCCGCCCTTGTGAGCCGTGCGCACTTTTCAACCTTTCGAAATTTAAAAGCACGTCGACTACTTTTAAGCGCCACTCCGCATTGACTTGAGGGTGAAAAAAGCGAGGGTGGCTTCGTTAGGGTAAAAAAATACTATATTTGCATTCTGGAAGCTTCGGAATTCGCTTCTGGGTGAAATTTTTCTGTCATCTGTCAATTATCGTTACATTCTCTTATTGCTCCAATTATTTTTTCGATTTAACGATTGGTAAACAAGCGTAATGAGATCTTGGTAAATTCTCATTTTGAATAAAAATTCGTTATTTTTGCGTTTTGTTGTCGGCGGTAAAAAAGGAACGTCTCGGCCAACACAAAACCGATTCTCCGCCGCACGGCACACGAGGGTGAAAAAAACAGGGGTTGCGATACTTGAAGGGTGCAAAAAACGTGGGGTGATATTTTTTATGAATGTTCAATTTCGTCGTTGTGCAGCTTTTTCGATCGGAAACAGCGAGGGGATCAATCGATAGATTCGATTTTTGATGGTCGGGACGAGGCTTGGGCTAGGTTAGGGCTAGTCGGTTTTTTACCTTGCCAAAGTGAGGATTTGCTCCACATGGCGGAGGCTCCGGTGAGAAGTTTTGCTCGGTTTGCAAGTTGTTGATATTTTTTAAAGGCGTGGTATTTAAAGTGGAGAATTAAGCTTGAAAAGTAGTTTAAAAAGTAGAATAATTGATTCATTTGACTATTTAAATCAAAAATTTAAAAATTTATAAGTTTCTTATTTATCCCAGATACCGGATTAAAGGTAATATAAATCTAATTTTAATTAAGAAAATCTTTCTGAAGTAGATAAA